CAAGCGGCGTAAAAAAGGTTGGGGATCACTGGTTTAAAGTACAAGAACATGGTATTTAGAATGCAAAAAGTAACTGAAGCTATCTAAAGGTTGAATCATGGCAACAGGATTTCATTTTTTTTTATTTTGAGATGTTTTGCTGCTCCTCCAGGCAGCTTTAAAAGTCAGAGCAAAGAAGCTAGGAAGAGAGTGTCTTTGGGTATCAACTCTTGCCATAACCTCATGCGTTTCCTCTCCAAAATGCATTGCAATGTGTCAGTGAAAACACTCAAATCATCCAGGCAAAAGTACCTGAAAGTTGAATCCAGTTGCCATGATTCAACCTTCAGATACTTTTGCCTGGATGACTGAGAGTTTTCATTGACATATTAGCCTGAAGTTATTTAGAGTACCAGGAAGGAAAAATGCATTTAGTGTAAAAAAAAATCCTGGTAAATCAGGATTTTATTTACCAACAAGCAGATTTAATATATTTAAAAGATCTATACCTAAATATTAATACTACTGTCCATATTTTGTTCTCAGAACCCATAAACAGAAACCTGCCTATCCCAAGGCTTTCAGCGCCCACTTAGGTAAATTAGAGAAATTAGAATTTTGGTAATCTCCAATCCTAGTTTTCCACCATTACCTTTTCCTGCTTCTTCTCCTCCTCATATTCTTTGTTGCCGCCCTCTTGCAACCCCTGAAAGAGGTTAAGGTGTCCTGAGGGCTTTTTTGAATCCAAAGAAACAAGGTCTAAATCACTCTTATCACCTCCTGCATCTGACAGACGTGCTTTCTTCCGTAAGAATTCAGTCCGGGCCTAAAATCAAAGGCAGATATTTATCCAAGGCTCATATGTAGGTCAATAACCCAATTTGTTCTAGATAACATCCTAAATAGTATGGAAGCCTCTGTGTGTTTCAAATCAAGAGCAAGTAAGAAGATAATAAAAAAATCTTTCAGGCCAGAGTCTACATTTAATTATTGTGTTTAAATAGAATGTAAATAAATCAGCTATCCTTTAAATTAGACTTTACCAGATTTCTTCAGATGATAGGAATACAGTAATACAATCAAGAACATAAATAATGGCAGATCCTTGATTTTGAACATTTCCCTTATCTTGTATCATTCTCTATGTATCACCAATCACTTTTCCAACTTTTTAATCTCTCACATTGGTCTATTTAATTTCTTGCAAGATAATTGACCCTGTCGTTGTAAAGATAAATTATTCAATTCAGAGTATATTTAGAGTGTGTCAGAAAAGGCAAAGAAAATAATATTAAAAGAATGTTAGAATATAAGCGTGGGAGAAGTCTAGAAAAAAGCACTTTTAATATATTATACAGAGCTTTACATCTCATTCATTGGTTCCCTCCATATTAAGCTTCAGATTAAAGGAAATAACAATAGAATATTTCAACATTTAGAAGAATAACAATAGTCTTATGATACCTTACCAGTTTTCTTCTATTTTTCCATTGATTTAATAACAGCAGCAGAAATCCTGGTTTCAATCAAATCCCAGATTAAGCAGAATCAAACTAGGGCCTTTCAGATTGACTATTCTTAAATCAGGCTTTTCTCAAGTTTCATCTATTCAAACCAGATGTACAGAAGAATCCCAGATATTGAATTCTGTTTCACATTTAAAATTAGCTGCCAATTAAAACCTAGGATACAATTGCTGTCTTTCATAAAGCGCTTAAAAGATCTGGCACTATGTTCAATTCTGGAGCTCTGAATGCGCCAAGTGATCAGTCTCCTACATCAGTGAAAACTCTTGGGTTTTCTCAGTTGCTGTGTATTTTGGTTTGTGTGCATGTGTATTGTTTCATTTTTATCATTGATCTCCATTCAGAATCATTGTTGAGGTGGGCAGGTATATAAATCGAATCATTAGATCAATAAAACTCTTATCAGCCTTTTCAATGCATGGCCCACATCATTGGAATATCTTCCTCCCAGAAATGTAAAGAAATCTCATTCTTGGAGTATGTAAGAACACCCCAAAGATAACTTTGAGGCTCAAGCCATCTTTCTGATTTGTTTAAATGCATTTTTTAAAACTTAAGATGCTTTTGTTGTTACAGAATACAGAAAATCTGAACAAGATGGCAGGCACTTTGATTTTGACAATGGAATACAATTGTTGTCAAAACCAAACTGTCTGCCACCTTGTTCAGATTTTTTCTAAAAGTCTGGATAAAATCCGGGTTTGGCTTTGTTTATTAATCCATGCAGGAAGATGAATGAAGGGTCATTCTGTATGCAGAATGCAGAAGGAGACAGAATCAAGGCAGAATGTTTAGATCCCATATGCAGCTTTAGCACTGCAACTCTTTTTGAAGAGTAGACAAACAGGAGGTTAGCTAGGTCTCTGGAAACAGTTTTGACCTCACTTCCACACTAGGGAGTTAGATCTGTCCATTCGGAAGCACTTAACTCTTATGGATTTGATTAGATGCATGTACCAAAGTATTATCACAATGAATTTGATGTTCAATTCCCTCCCCAGAACTGAGACATTTCCTCCACAGAAAAACTGATGGACCGAATCCGCATGCGCAGTAGAATGTTTTTAAACGATTGTCTCGACTTGGGATACAGCGCATGCGCAATAATTCCAAACCTAAGAGTACGGCCCCCTTTGCGCATGCCCCTTCGTGACTATTTACCTCCTGTTCAGCTAACAGGACGCGGGCCTCCCTCTTTTGCCTCTGAACTTCAGCCTCCGCTTCGTCCCGTCGTACGCGAGCCACATTGTCTTTGTTGCGGACGTGCCACGACTTTTTGGGAAGAATGTTCATCCCCGATGCTTATGACCGTGCTAAAAATCTCCACAAATGTACTCCGTTTCCTGAATCGTTGTTCCCCGAGTACTATCGAGCTCCGCCCCTTTGTTCTATTTAGGGGCGTGGCCGTTGCCTCCGTACTGTACGTGCTTCATCGCTTCCGTTCACGTTTGCCTGCGCAAACTCGGGGATTGTTCATCCGGAGTTCTCATTGGCTCGCCTTTATTCCCACCTGCTATTTGATTGGTGTGGATCAGTGTTCTTCAAGCTCGGCCACATACTGACTGGAGAATTCTGGGAAATGAAGTCCACACTTGTTAAAGTGGCCAGGTTTGGAAAATCATTGAATGGATTGACCGCACTTCAAATAGGGAATGATGCTTGTTGAATGCTGAAAAATCTCTGTGGTTGTGACACCAAGACTGGTGTTTGCTTTTTAAAACACACTTTAGTATTTCTCCCTACATGCTAGATTAATGTTACTTGCAGCAGTGGAATGGGAAGACTTGACATCAGGAATCATTCTCACTGCACAGTTGGACTACTGCAATGCACTCTGCAGGAACTACCTTAGAAAATCACCCAGCATGCAGCAGTCTTTTTAAATGCAGTGTTTCCCAACCTTAGCCATTTATTATTATTATTATCATTATTATTATTAACAAAAATGACAGTATACACGGCAAACAAGATAACCATGCTGGGTTTCGTATCACAAATCACTAGTCGAACACTTCCCAAGAGTTTAGGACTGCGTGATGTATCGGCAGATTTTGCAAGCAGATGCCAGTAAAGTGGCCTTCTGTAGCTGACCAGTGGTGATCTTATCAGCACCAATTGTTTTTAAGTGCTTGCTTAGGTCTTTAGGCACAGCACCCAGTGTGCCAATTACCAATGGAACCACCTGCACTGGTTTACGCCAGAGTCTCTGCAGTTCGATTCTCAAGTCCTGATATCTGGTGACTTTTTCAAGTTGTTTCTTGTCGATTCTTCTGTCACCAGGTATGGTAATGTCGACGATCCACACTTTTTTCTTCTCCACAATTGTGATATCTGGGGTATTGTGTTCCAAAACTTTGTCAATCTGTATTCAGAAGTCCCACAGTAGTTTTGCATGCTCATTTTCAACCACTTTTTCAGGCTTATGATCCCACCAGTTCTTTGCTACAGGCAGATGGTAGTTGTGACACAAGTTCCAGTGGACCATCTGAGCGACTGTGTTGTCACATTATTTGTAGTCAGTCTGAGCTATTGTCTTGCAACAGTTCAGTATGTGATCAATAGTTTCATCCGCTTCTTTGCAGAGTCTGCATTTGGGGGTCATCAGCAGATTTTTCTATTCTGGCTTTGATTACATTTGTTCTGATGGCTTGTTCTTGGGCTGCAAGAATCAGGCCTTCTGTTTCTTTTTTCAGTGTTCCGTTGGTCAGCCATAACCAGGTCTTTTCCTTATCTACTTTTCCTTGGATCTTTTCAAGGAACTGTCCATGCCCCCCACGGGGTGCCGCCTTGACGTACTGAGGGCTTAACTGTTCCAATGAAGCTGAGAGCTGTGCTGGCGGTAGTGCAAACCACCAGCAGGTCCAACCATGTCAGAGAGGTCTAGGCCGAGGAGCAGAACTGAGTGCACCCAACAACCCGTGCAATGAATCATAGTAAAACACAACCGAACGAAGCCTATACTGGCTCGGTCATCGCCCGGGTTAACAAGGACCGCATCGGGTGTTGGGGAACCTGGGCATCCGTCGACAAGTGGGCTACAGGCCACGGGTCCCATAGCTGAGCAACCAGGGCATGGGCCTGCAGGGCTACTGGATGCTGAACAACCTCAGAAGTGGCAGAAATACACCATGTCAGAGAACCGCACTGTAATGAAATGCTACTACAAAGCAGAACCGGAAAAACGAGGCTACCAAAAAAGGATGTACAAGTTATGGAAACAAGAATATCCAGACTCAAGGAGAACTGAATTACGATTAGCCGATCAACGATGATTTATTATTATTATTATTATTATTATTATTATTATTATTATTATTATTCAATCTTTAGTGAGATTCACAGCCTTCGGGCTGGTTGGTAACAACAGCTCGAGTCCTAACCAAGGACCTAGGAACTGTTCAGGTAGCATCAGAGGATTTAAGCTGTTCCAAGTAGGGTAGTTTTTATTATTATTATTGTTATTATTATTGTTATTATTATTTATCACCATTGTATGTATATACATAGTACACACATACAACAAAATTCACATAACACCCAGAGTTGTTTAAGATGTGTGAACTTCAGCTCCCAGAATACCCTAGCCATTTTAAGATGGACTTCAATTCCCAGAATTCCCCAGCCAGCATTACTGGTTAGTGTTAAGCCTGGATTCCCCAACAGGTGTTAAGGAAAACAAACTAAACAGAACGTGCAGCGAAGTCAGATAGGAAGACAGGTAAATGTGTGAGATAAGTTTTCTAGTTAACACGCAGTAAAAATACAGATACGCTTGTGCTATCAAAAATATTGTTTATTCCATTTAAGAATTATAGCATAGTCAAATGTAACGGTCCATTAGTCATATACCAAATTCAGTCAAGTCTTGTCGAGGATACTGTAATTGCAAAGTCCGTGTTGAATAGCCAGTGTCAGTACACATATAATAAATCTGTCCAAAACTTATCTTCTCTCCGTTGAGAAATATCTTCAAAGTAATCCAACACTTCTTCTCCTCCCCGATCCAGCAAGAACGCAGTCTTCAATAAGCCAGCCAGTAAGAGCCAGAGAGTGCCTTGCTGCTTATATAGTACTTTTACAGCTGCACCCTTAATTACATTCCTTTAGCTTAAAGTCACATACACTTTATCTGACAAAACATGATTCATCATTTTATTATCTTTACCCAAAACAGTTAGGGTAAAACAATGTTATCTCTAACAGTTAGGGTATTCGGGAATTGAAGTCCACATATCTTAAAATGTCTACAGTTGGGAAACATTGTCTTAATATCAAAAGCCAGTTTGTTGTAGCACTTAAGGTACTGGCCTAGAAATCAAGAGATGGTGAGTTCTAGTTCTGCCTTAGTCATGAAAAACCATCTGGGTGACTTTGAGCTAGTCACTATCTCAGCCCAACTCACCTCAGAGGGTTGTTGTGTGGAAAATAGAAACAGGATTAAGTATGTTCATTGCCCTGAGTTACTTATAAAGAAATAAAGGTGAAATTTAAAAAATCTTTCAAAAACTCACTGTTGAAAGGTGTCAAAATGCCTTTCTTTCGAGGATTCGATTTTCCCGCTGGGAGAGCTCTGGCGCAAGGATACGGACAACTGCTTGAAAGCTGGATCTTTTTACTTTTCAGGAAGGCGGAGAACAGCGAGAAGTCTGCGTTCCTGGGCTAGCTAGCTTCTTATGGTAAGCCCCTAGTTTTTTATACCCTTTTCTCCCTTTGTAAGTTGATTTTGTGTGAGTGTTCGTATTTATGCCTAATGTTTCAAATCCTGTTTGAGTTTGTCTTTATTTCCATCAGAGGGCAAACTCCGCGGGGTGGCCAGATTGTATTATTGGTTTTCTGTAATCTCTTTTAGCTTTAAGATAGTTTTTCATATTTGTTCTGTGGCAATCTCCTGTCTGTCCCTTTTGTAATTTATATTTTGTGTCTTTTGTCTGTTTGTTTTGCTTATTTGGTATGTCCTGTGTTTGTAAGGGTTTTCTAAATTATCTTTTGTTTCTTTTTCCTATTTGTCTAGTTTTCTTAATTACTTAGGCTTTTGTCCATAGGGATTCTTTAATACTTTTTATTTGATTCCTTTTCCTATGTAAGTTTGTTTTCTGGCTGACCTGATGTTCCCCTTGGGCTTTTCCTGTTTTTTGTGACACGACTGCCTTCGTGAAATTCCCTTTCCACATCATAAACCAGGGAACACCTGTGCCCCAGGTCTTGAATTGACCACCAATACATTTCCAGAGGCAGTTTACAGTTTCACTATCACTTTCTCCTAGTGGAACTGACCCACCTAGTGTGTTTCTGGACAAAAAAAAATGTGAGTGGTCCCCCTTTGGGAGCTTATAAATTTTACTTTTATGTTCTACTCCTTATTTTATAGAATAGCATTCCTCTTGAGACTAGGTTAGTACCGTCCCAGAAATTGAGGAAAACACCTCTCCCAGAGACCATATGGAGAATGATGGGCCTGCATCATCAAGGGTATCATTCTGTTGAATTTATGGGTTTTATGTTCTGTTTTTACCATTTTTCCAGTGTTAACGAGCAGAAGGCTATGTTGATCGCTGTTGTACACAAAGTAAATACAGTCCTGACAGCTGCAAGATTGAGCAAAGATCCTGTTTGCTGTTGCCTCATAGTCTGCAATTTTGTAGCTCAGAATTTAGGGATTTATGGCCTCTATATCAAAAGGGAATACTGTAGCTTGAAATAGGTTTATTTCAGCCAATCAGCCTCATGCTATAGAATAACAGGACTTTAAAAGTTTACACTGAAATATTATTTAAGTGATGTACTATAGTACTTAGGTCAACTTTAAATATTTAAAATGTATGTTTACGCATAAGAAAGAAACGCAGCTAGTTCAAATTAATGGCCTATTTAGCTAAGCATTCTTCTCTCCACATCTAACCAATACTGACTCCTTACAAGTGGTGCTCCACTTACAACCATTTATTTAGTGACCATTCAAAGTTACAACACTGGAAAAAATGACGTACAACTAGTACTTGCACTTATGATAATCGCAGCATTCCCACGATCACATGATCAAAATTGGTGCAGTCGGCAATTTGGATGTATCTATGACGATTGCAGCTTCCCAAGGTCATGTGATCACCATTTGCAGCCCTCCCAGCTGGTTTCCAGCAAGCAAAGTCAGTGGGGTTGCTTAACAACCATGTAATTTTAACTTAGCAACTACAAGTGATTTGCTTAACAACCATGGCAAAAAGGTCATAAAATCGAGTGTGATTCACTTAACAACTGCCTTGCTTCACAACAGAAATTCTAGTCTCAGTCATAGTCATAAGTTGAGGATTACCTGCATTAGATTAATTCTGGCTTGATTTAGGATATTAGTATTCTTATTCTATACGGTATCGCAAACAAATCTGTAACTGTCCATCTATTATTGTTGGGAGAT